TCTTGGTGTGATTCCTTGAGATTCGAGCTTTGACTTGATCTTAAGAAGAACGATTGTCTTACTTTGATAAGATCTTCGTTTTAAGTTCTCACTTCGATAAACGAAGGAAGAATCATTAAGCCCCCTTCACGATCTGTGATTTGGCGGTCCATGAGTCAAAGCACTCACGGCACATGCAAAGTCCCACAAAACAAGAATCGATAAACGATTTTTGTGTTATTTTCCAAGAGAGTTGTAATTTTCTCAATTTTTCATTGTAATTCTCTGTAAACAATTTAAGTTTAATGGAACCATCAATGAAAACAACTTTCGGCGAAAACAGTCCGGCCTCGTGCAAACCATCGCGTACACGAGACTCCCAATGGCCGAAGAATATGGCACCCTGCTCATATGCTCTCTATCTGCATCTGTCTTAGGCGATTGCTCCTCAGATAGTTTGAACTGACTTCCAAGGGGTGTGCTAACAACTTTAGCATTCTGCATGTTGAACCTCTGAAGTACCTTCTCAATGTATTTAGCTTGGCTCAATCTCAATGTCCCTTCGGCTTCATCCCTACTGATTCGCATCCCTAGAATCTGCTTTGCTGCGCCCAGATCCTTCATTGCAAATTCCTTTGCTAGCTGCTTCTTCAAACTGTTTATCTCTTCCAAACATGGTCCTGCTACCAACATGTCATTAACATATAATAACAAAATAATAAAGCTGGACTCGAACCTTTTGAAATAACAGCAATGATCCGAATTGCATCTTCTATAGCCATTGTTCTGCATGAAGTTATCAAACTTCTTATACCACTGTCTCGGAGCCTGTTTCAAACCATATAAGCTCTTCTTGAGCTTGCACACCATCTCTTCCTTTCCTTCTTCAATGAAGCCAACAGGCTGCTTCATGTAGATTTCTTCATCCAAGTCACCATGAAGAAAGGCAGTCTTCACATTTAACTGCTCAAGGAAGAGGTCCTCTGCAGCTACCAAACTCAACATCACTCTGATGGTTGTGAGTTTCACAACAGGGAAAAATATCTCCGTGTAGTCCACTCCTTCCCGCTGTTGAAACCCCTTCACGACTAATCTGTCCTTGAATCTCTTGCTTCCATCACTCTCCTGCTTGACCCGGTAGACCCATTTATTGTGCAAGGCTTTCTTCTGTGCAGGTAGCTAGGCTAACTCCCATGTCTCATTAGTGAGTAGAGAATCCATCTCCTCCTGCATCGCATGCTCCCACTGTTGAGATTCACTCACTTGCATTGCCTCTTTATAGCTTTCCGGCTCACCGCTATCTGTCAACAATAAATAGTCAAGAGATGAAAGATATCTGAGATTTGGTTTGGGTACCCTGGATGACCTCCTAAGCTCCACGCCCTGGGTAGTTTCTTCTGCACCTAGAGCCTCCTCCGTTCTACGGTCAGAACAAACATCATCACCCCTGTCTGGAATTTCCTCTATATCCATGTACTCGGATCTACCTGTATCCGTAGTGCTGCTCCCACTGCTTTGGCTATCCTTGGCATTGTCCTTGTTCTTGTGCATCACCTCCTCATTGAATATCACATCCCGGCTCCTGATGATCTTCCTGTTCTTCTCATCCCAAAGGCGATACCCGAACTCATCAATGCCGTATCCAATGAATGTGCACTTCTGTGACTTAGCTTCTAGCTTGTCCCTGACATGGTCACTGATATGAACATAAGCCACACAACCAAATACCCGCAAGTGTGAGAGATTTATCTTCTTTCCACTCCAAACCTCCTCTGGAATCCCAAAATCTAATGGAACTGATGGCCCGTGATTAATAAGGTATGCTGCCGTATGTACCGCATCCGCCCAAAATATCTTAGGCAGACCTGCATGTAATCGCATGCTCCGCGCACGCTCTGTCAAGGTCCTGTTCATCCTCTTTGCAATGTCGTTCTGCTGCGACGTCCCTGGAGTAGTCATCTCTAAGCGAATCCCATTCGTAGCACAGAACCTCTTGAACTCCTCCAGCTCGTATTCTCCACCATTATCTGATCTCAAGCACTTCACCTTCAGATCTGTCTCGTTCTCGACCATGGCCTTCAACTTCTTGAAGATTTTGAACACCTCTGACTTGTGCTTCATGAAGTAAACCCACACCTTCCTCGAGTGATCGTCGATAAAGGTGACGTAGTATCTCGAACCGTCAAAAGAAGACACACTGGCTGGGCCCCATACATCTGTATGAATCAACTCTAGCTTCTGAGCCTTAGGTGGCCTTCCACCCTTCTGGAAACTAACCCTCTTCTGCTTCCCAAAGATGCAGTCTTCACAAACCCCGACTTCCACGGTGTCGATCCCGGTTAGCTTTCCTTGTGAATGTAGGATTTTCATCCCCTTCTCGCTCATGTGTCCCAGCCTATTGTGCCACAAATTTGTACTCTCCTTGCCAGCTGCAATTGCGAGGGTGTCACTCGCATGTGAAGTGAGGTAGAGAGTCCATGTTTTATTGCCTCGGGCAACAACCATCGTACCGTTGGAGATTCTCCACGAATCCCCGGTGAATGTCAAAACGTAGCCTTCTGCTCCAAGCTGTCCCACCGAAACAAGATTCCTCTTCAGCTTCGGCATGTGTCTCACGTTCTTCAAATTCCACTTAGAGCCCTTTATCTATATCTGAACGTCGCCCTTTCCAACAATATTGCAAGGTTCATTGTCCCCCAAGTATACTTTACCAAAGTCCCCTGCTACATAGTTCTGAAGTAGTTTCCTATTAGCAGTGGCGTGGAAAGAAGCTCCTGAGTCGATGACCCAAGAATCAGAATCGCTATCCATAGCAAGGATCAAGGCATCATGCCCCAACTATCCGGCAACTGCGATAGTAGTAGAAGGGTCTGCACTTCGTCATCGAACGTGATGTCTACGGAGATAAGTTGATCAACAATTGTGTTGAACTCGCTGAGGTGCATCGTGAAGGACCGTCCTTCTGCCATCTTGAGGTTGAAAAGAGTTTTGACTAGATGCACCTTGTTTGCTGCCAACGGTTGCTCGTACATCTTCGCGAGCGCTTTCATAAGCCCCACCGTCGTCTTCTCATTCAGAATATTGTGGGCTACTGATTTGGCGAGCGACAACCGGATTTGCCCTAGAGCCTTCCTATCCAGTACCTCCCAATCACCATCTGACTCCTCTTTCTTCTTTCCCTTTTCCTTGCCCATCAACGGGCGATACAAATCCTTCTGGTACAGATAGTCCTCTATCTGCGACTTTCAGTAGGCGAAATCTGATCCATCGAACTTCTCAATCTTTGATTTGTTTTCCTCTGCCATGGCTTTCACACAAATTGCTGAACGAAGCTCTGATACCAGTTGTTGGGGATTCGAAACAATCAATCGGACCCTTGCCCTTCTTGACATTGTGTTGAAAGTAGGAAAGTAGGAATCATACAACAAATAAAGATCTAACCTTGTAAAAATAGTAAATGAGACGAACACACAGATTTAACGAGGTTCAGCAACGTGCCTACGTCCTCGGGAGCCACACCACACAATCTTTTTATTAATTGAAGAAGAAAATACAAGCTCTCAAACAAGGGATTAATCTCTCTGAGATTCTCTCTTTCTTTGCAGTCAAAAAACACTTCTTTTGATGTAGTACAAACCCTAAAATCGTTTGGGGTATATATAGAATCCTGGGTGAAACAGATTCCTAAACAGAACAGGATTCTGTTTGACTGCGTCGCGGTCGACCGCGGCGGTCGACCGCGCAAATTCCAGAGAGTTTGGCGGTCGACCGCAATCAAAACCCGAGACCAGAAAATCCTACAGGGTTGGCGCGGTCGACCGCCGCGGTCGACCGCCATCAGCTTCAGCTTCTTCCCATCTCCTGTGCACGTTCGCGGTCGACCGCCGCGATCGACCGTGGATCTGTCTGCTTGTTTTTTTCTGTCTTTTTGATTCCAGCCTTCGTCCGGACTTTGGGTCTACACTTTAGACTAACATGAAACGATAATCATAAAAGACTTTTTTCTATTATTTATTTAATTTTTTTGACTTTAGACATATAAGCGGGATTTCTGTTAGTGGTCTCCGTTGATGATAAAGCAAAGGTTAAATACCACGTAAGTACCTTATAGTTTCACTAGAACTTAAATATTCTTAGTTGTATTTTGCAACGTCTATATACTTTGAGTTAATCAAAATTGGCACATTAAAACTCACTGTTATGAAAACGTGAAAATGTTCATTAGAAAGTTCCCATATAACAATCACACGTTAATCTTAGAGCTTTTTAACCATTAATATTTGCTAAATTACTATTAAACCTACACAAATTCTAATTTAAATGTACCCTAATTTTATTGTAAAAATAGAATTTGAAAAGATTTAGCGATGAATTCAATAAAGTTAATAGACATAAAGTTATAAAATTAGCATATGAAAGTCCTGTAGAAACTTTCGGATAAAAAAAAATCATGTTTACAAAACAGAGAATATTAAGTGCCAATTTTGAACAACTCAGAATATATAAATATTATGAAATATAACTGATGGTATATAAGTGCTAAGAGAGTGAAACTATAAAGTATTTATGTGCTATTTAGCGTAAATAAAAAAAAAAGGTCTGAGATAAGTCTGGGTTCTGATCACTTTTGAACCCTGGTCATGATAAATAATGGAAATAGCCTGTTGGTGGCCTAATGGAAAAGGAAAAGGAATTTTTTATTTTCCCCTCCTATCTCTGTTTTTCCTATTTCTAGATGAGAAGGGTATTTTAGCTTGAAAAAGAAATTTCATATATTTAAAAATTAAATATAAAAAAAAACAATGAAAAAACCTGATTAATTTCTGTGTTGCTTTTGTAACAAACATTTACCGAGCACTTTGCCATCGGTTCTTGCAGTTGTCCAACAAACTAGAAAAATCCTATCAGATCATCTAGATATCCTAACCCGACCCGACCCGACCCGACCCGTATCCTCTCCGTTCTCGCACCCGGAAACGGAGTCAAATTAAGGGTTTAAGGTCCTCTCACTGTCCGATCTCATTCTCAGCCTGCCGCAAAAAAATTTCTTTCTAAAATTTTTGGAAAAATTGCGGTGAATTCGATCTTCTCTCTCTCTCTCTAGATTATGCAACCCTAATCAATAAAAAATCCTCTTTTAATACAATTCAATCACTGCAGATCGATCTATCGGTTGATCGATGAGGAAGCGAGATTTGGGGATCCTCCTCCTCTCCGCCTTCGCCATCTTCTTCTCTCTTCAGGTACTAACCCTAATGAACCCCAATCAAAACCCTAGGTTTCTGATTTTTGTACGCAATTGTTGAGTTCCCTCCCCTGGATCCAGCACGGAGGCGATTTCTCGTTCAAGGAGGCATGGATGCATCCCACTGACGATTATCCCATCAAGTACGACGCCGAGCGCCTCCCGCCTCCGGTCGTCGCCGATCTTAACGGCGACGGGAAGAGCGAGATCCTCGTCGCCACTCACGACGCCAAGATTCAGGTCTCTATCCTTTCAATATCATTCCCACGCCACGAAATGTTTGGTAATATGCTATGAAGTACGGCAACGTGCTACAATTCGATCGAAAATGATATAATATTTGTTAAACTACCATAATATTAGTTTAAAGTGGTATAAACATGGGGTGGAATTTCTTATCTGGGTTTAAAAGTAAATCAGATTTGGATGTATATTTGATTTTGGAAATGGATGGGGTTACAAGTAAATGAGGATAAAAAATATTGGGTTTAAAATCCAAGAAACGAGCCTAATTTTACGGACTTCTCTAGGTTTTGGAGCCTCACAGTAGGCGTGTGGACCAAGGGTTCAGTGAGGCACGAGTCTTGGCTGAAGTGTCGTTGTTGCCGGACAAAGTCCGCTGGCATTGTCGATCGGAGTTTCAGACATGGGGAGATAAGGAAGCAGGTGTTGGTCGTGGTCACATCGGGCTGGTCAGTGATGTGCTTTGATCATAATCTCAAGAAACTCTGGGAGAATAATTTGCAGGTGATGATTCTGTTTGCAAAGTTTTTGAGTGCTGCTTGTTGGATCATTTATTATTATTATTTGAAATGGAAACTTGATTCAGGAAGATTTTCCTCATGGTGCTCACCATCGGGAGATTGCAATTTCCATTAGCAATTTCACGCTGAAGCATGGAGATAGCGGGCTGATTATTGTAGGAGGGAGGATGGAAATGCAATCTCATGTATGTTCTAAAGTTGATATTTGCTTATTCATAGACTATGATACTTGTGGCTTTTTTTTCTTAGAGACGAATATTGAATTTTATTCTTTCTAAGTTTGGTTAAAACCTAACTGCTGTATATCTGTTCTAATTGCAAGATCTCAAGGGCTTGTGTGATTTAATGACATCATGTTGTTCCTTGTATGATTATTTATCAAACACATAGACTAAAACTCATTGAGTGCAGCTTCTCACTATATTTCAGAACTTAACAGGGATAAGGGAAAAAAAACCAAAGAAGTAGCAACAGATAAAATTGTTTCACCAAAGATTTACCAAAATGAAGAATATTGATAATTGACTGCCATCCAAAAAATTTGTCCTTGTTTTCAGCCCACGTTTCTTGTTAGAAATCTGAAATATGAGCGATCTCTTTAGCTTCTAAGAATACCAAAATTTGGAGTTGTTCATGATCCAAGTCATTAGCCCTTACCTAGTTCAATTGAATCAATTTTGGGGTACCTAGGCTGGACTTTAGGCAAGCGGAGCAGTAATTAGGTGTGAAGCAAAACTTAGATAGGAAGCTACTGTTACATGTTGTGAAGAAGTGCACAGTCTAAAGAAATATTTTCAGAGAGAAGAGAATGTCAGATCTCTTTATGATTTTGAGTTGTCAACTTCGCTGCAGGATTCATACTCTTCCTACTCGGAACCATGTCCCTCTAATTTTGTTAGCTCAGAAAACAAAGCAGAGAAGGGTCCTACTGAGAATCAAAAATTTTCGATTCCTCAAGAGGAATCCATAAGTTTGAAACTAGGTCTCCGTGTTTGAATTTTCTCCATTCGCTTTCCCTTATCAATTCACTTGACAATTTGTAGCTTAGCATATTGTGGTGGTTCTCACTAGATCTTATACTGCACATTGACATAATATAGACATACACACTAGGATAAGAAATGAGTGCATTCGTAGGAGCTTATATTAGATGTTGCTCCTATGTAGGATAAAGTGAGAATTGATTCAGATTGTTTGACCATGTGGATATGATAATCGTCAACTTGACGGAGGAGATGAGCTATTATAGAAATGAATGGAAGATTAGGACATGTAGTCAAACCCAACAATTTGAGATAAATGTTTTGTTGTTGTTGTAATGACCTTGCTCTCCCTCCTGGGCAGAAAACATAAAAAATATCTCAGGCTGCCATCCCATCAAAAGGACCATGGCCACCAACACATGCAGAGTGCATTCTGATTTTATATTTGTCATTTTGTTGCAAGCTACTCTGGCCATCAATGCATGCAGATTGCATTCAAATTTTATATTTGTTTTTTTGTGCTATTTATTGCACACAAGTTACTTAATCTTGGCTGATTACTTAGAGAAAGATTTGATTCTCTGGTCACCAATTTTCTACTGCTATTCTGGAATATCACATGCTGCATCTCAAACATGTGATTTATTGTCAGATATAAATGTAGTGGTGCTCTTTTTTGGTTTATTCTATCTTCAGTTGGGAGAGAGAGGGATATGAGCATTGAATTCTTTTTTTGGTTTCCTTAATGAGTTGATAATGTGAAATCTGAAAACGACTCTAGTTAGGTTATTACTAAAGATTGGTTGTATCCGACTTGACATAGAAATCAACACATGGAGGTTATCCACACACATCCCATCGCGCAATCCTAATATTTACATATTTAATACTCAATGAGAAACTCTTTGAATCTCTTCTAACTTTAGCCTCAGGCTAGTCATTGTTTTTTGCTAATTGTAGGCTGTCTAAAAATCACAATAGATAGTTGATCCCCCATCAAACGCCGATGATGGAAGTTACAATCTGACGACTTCCAGAAGGCTACAATTTGAGGACTTTCACGTAGAAGGTTACAATCTGACGACCTTCACAACAACTAATGAAGGCCCCAATTCAACAGCCTTCACAATCAACATCGAGAGTTACAATCTGACGACTCTCATATTTTCAAGGAGCCAAGAATTCAACAGCCTTCACAATCAACATCGAGAGTTACAATCTGACGACTCTCATATTTTCAAGGAGCCAAAACGAAGATTATAAGAGGACGATCTGTGCAAAGCTCTAGTAAAAGAGACTACAAATTGACGGTCTCTTCATATTAGAACGCAAATATCTCTCAAACCGTAAGGAATTTGGCAAAACGGAGGAAGCGAACCGAAGCCTTCGGCTCGGTTCGGATGGCCCCGTCTCGTCGAGATAGCCGATTTTCATATGTAATTCGTCCAATTCCGACTTACGGTTTGAAAGTTATGACCTGTTCTTCAATCCATGCTCAGGAGCTCGCCTGCACACCGGACTTCGTCAGAACATTGGACTTAGCCTGAAGCTCGCCAAGCCCGCCTAAGGTTCGCCTCTGCATTACAGAGTCAAAACGCACAGGTCGAACCAGCGTTATAACCTCAAAACGCAGAGGTTATCCTTGGGATATAACATCAAAACGCAGAGTTACGACCCAACTCTGCGTTTTCAGCCTAAAACGCAGAGTTCACTTCTAAAACGGCCCAACTGTGCGTTTTCAGCCTAAAACAGGCTCAACTCTACGTTTTTAGCCTAAAACACAGAGTTCATCTCTAAAACAGCACGACCTGTGCGTTTTCAGCCTTTAAACAGGCCCAACTCTGCGTTTTTAGCCTAATACGCAGAGTTCATCTCTAAAATAGCACGACCTGTGCGTTTTCAGCCTGAAACAAGCTCAACTCTGCGTTTTCAGCCTAAAACGCAGAGTTCATCTCTAAAACAGCACGACCTGTGCGTTTTCAGCCTTTAAACAGGCCCAACTGTGTGTTTTCAGACCTAACTCTGCGTTTCAGGTCCAGAAACGCACAGTTCGGGCCCAGAACGCTGTTTTCAGCGTTTTGACTCGTTCAAAGCACTAACAGAACGGTTTCAAAACCGTTTTTCCCACGATTTAGGGAGCTGTTTAAGCGGGGGCGGTTACACCCCTACTCAGCCCATTGAGGAGCAGATTAAGGGGATAGTTACCACCCTTAATCCCCTATAAATAGTGGGAAACTCAACTGAGTTCGGGGCTCTTGGATCCTTCTTTTTTTTTGGGCAGCAAAGAAGAGATCTTCGGCTAGCTTCTGATCGGATTTTATCTCATCAACAGAGGGAGATTCGGTCAAGGGCTTTTGGGATCTGAGACTTGGCAGCAAATGGAGGATTTCTTGGAGATCGGATCATTCTCCAACAGAGATCATCTTCAAGATTGGCAACAGGAGCATTCCCTTGGCTTATAACCGACTTTCGGTTCAAATCAACTCTTTTTTAATAGTTCAAACTCGTTCAGAGTTATCAACTCGATCAGAGTTCAAAACTTGCTCTGCAAGTTCTTCTAAAACTCGTTCAAAGTTATCAACTCGTTAAGAGTTATTTTCAAATTTGCCACTCAAGTTCTCCATAGCGTCAAATCGTGAGGAGAAGACTACGTTCCAGTGAATCAAGACGTGCGGATCGTCAACGGAGAGCAAGTTCGACACAATCAATCGAAGGAGGCACTCCATCGCCACCGTGAAGAACCCAGTTTTAAACAAAGAGGAGAGTCAAATTCATTCTCCTCTCTTTTGTAATCGGAATCCAAATTGTAATCGATTTTGAGAGAAATACAAGTCAATTTTTCTTTCATTGTCTTTTTACTGCAAATTTCCAACAAACACTAATGCCAACCTATCACTGGCTTATATGATGTGGATGCATACTCAAGCTCATTCACATACGACTTTCAATCTAGAGATAGTTAATCAAAGTCAAGCTAATGTTTGAAAATAATTTTGTCAGTGATATGCAAAGTAGTTTCCAGACAAGATACATTAATTTTAGGCTAAAAGGCCAATTTGGTCCCTGTATGGGGCCCTCACACTCAAATTGGTCCCTGCACCTTATTTTTTTCTCAACTTGGTCCTTGTACCCTTTCCTAGATGTAAACTTAGCCCCTTTTTTGACACCTGTTATAAACTGAGTGTTAACTTTTTCATTTATGACCGTGTTACCCTCAATAACATTGCAATAGTGGTCCTTAAACTTTATTTAAGCTTTAGGTTGTATTTGTTGTTGCAAATAATATCTGATTAACAATAGCTACAGGTACATTTCACATGAGCAATTCCCATGAAGTTCTCTATTTATGTATCATTTTTATCAACTGTAGATAATTTTATAGTCCATCTAACAAATGAATATAATTGAATTTTTATGTTCTATCATTGATAGTATGAACTAATACATGGACCAAAGAAATGAATGGACTTAGGCCTAAAGTTTTATCTGCTTTTGTTCAAAAAAGATTATAATGCTACATGTTTTCGATTCAAAAGAGATTATAATAGTGCTATAGGATACTGGAGCAAGATTTGATGAGTTTTTGCAGATAAACTTAGGAGTGCAGCGGAATGGTCTTACTCTAGCTAGTTACTGAAATCGTTACAGAAAAACAATCTTGGATTAGATTATTTCAATAGATTTCAAGCTGGACACGGCACATGCATTAGTTTTGGCATGTTTAACACATCTGATTCAGAACTTAACCAGCTAGAAAGGAATGACGAAAACTTCTTCCTCTTTCGAAGTTAAGGAGAACTTCCCAATAAGTCTCATTCTCTATAAATAGCCACCCCCCCCCCCCCCC